AGTTCATTGAGGTTTGTGGACAGGTTTTTGCACAGCTTTCCTAAGGTCCTGCTACAGCATTACAGTCGGTTGAGTTCTGAACTTTGACTTGGTCATTGCAACAACTTGATTTTTTTTTCAACTGCTCTATCGTAGATTTGCTGCTGTGTTTAGGATCATTGTCCTTTTGCATGGCCCACTTTGGGCCAAGGTTTAGGCCAAAAATGACAGATGGCCTCACATTTGATTTAGAATAGTTTGGTAAACACAAGAGTTCATGATCAACTCAATGACCATAAGGTTACCAGGTCCTGTGGCTGCAAAACAAGCCCAAATCATCGACCCTCCACCACCCTCTGACGGTGTTTGTACCAATATGCTGTGTTTGGTTTTCTCCAAACATGGTACTGTGCATTATGGCCAAACATCTCAATTGTGGTCTCATCTGACCAAAGGACATTGTTCCAGAGGTCTTGTTGTTTGTTCAGATGCAACCTGCTCCCGTGTTCTTTTTAAAGAGAAGAAGCTTTATCTTTGCAACCATTCCAAAGTGACAGAGACTGATAAAGTCACACAGAAATGAATGTTTCAGTGACTAGATGGGTCCATAGCAATTTTTTTTGTCATGAAATTCGGTCCTGATGCAAAATCCATGAAACCCTGAAAAAAGTCTACCTCTCAAAAGGCTACATCATAACCCAGAACTTAAGAGCAAGACTGTATATTTGATTTATTTCCCTCAAATAAATCAAGGCCTAGATTCAACTTCTAAATCTTTACTCACAACTCTAAGGGGAAAAAATGAGCAGGTGTACGCTCTAGGCTGTATTGGATCTTACTGAAATTAAACCACACATTTCTTTTACATGTAAAAGTTGAATGGCTTATAGCTTATACAAGAGCTTCAAAAGGGACCATGGCTAAATTGCCAGTTGTCTAAATAGTGTTTATTTATTTTTACATAGGTAATGAATTAGATCTGGATAGTTTTTATGTTTGTTACACCATTGATAAAGTGATGAGTTGTCATGTGTGAGGGAGGCAGGATTAGAACCCAAAATAAGACATGGAGACAAGCTAGAGACAGAAACCATACACAACTGACTACACACTGGGGATGGTGGGGAGGACACACAGAAGCAACCAAGAAAAACGGGACAGAAAGGGGAACGAAACTCAACGAGTTGGGTAAACAAATTAATACTCAAAAATGAATATTAGAATCACACAATCCCCAAAATGAATAAATCTAAACAATGCAGAACATATCAGATAATACAAAACACCTTAACAATCCAAGAGTCAACAACCCAGGAACCATGACACAATGACAGCTGGGTTAGTCTTCAGCCTCACTGTCACCCGGAAATAGATATGCGGTTATGGAAATGGATGGATGTAGCAAACATATTTCTACTTATGTATTCTACTTTCCCTCCACATACTGAGATTAATGATAAAAGGGGGCCAAGGCTAATGCTATGTGCCAGAATTTCAAAGCAAATGATGTGGATCTGCCTTAAAATTGAAAAATTTCTCCTGTTGCTCAGGCTTCATTATTTCACCATGTTTCATGGAATAGTTTTTGCCTAATCTCGCTGTCAGACGGGCCAATAAATAATCACAAATGGAGAGAGCTCAGAGAGCTCATTCTCCACTAAAGCAAGTCAAAGCAATGCAAGCTTTAATGGATTCTTTCTTTGCATAACTCCTTACCAAGTGTCATGGATTTGGTAGTTTTCTCATAATCTTGCTATAAAATCAACAGAACCTAAACAATAATCAGACACAAAGTCAAAGGGACAGACAAATGCATAAGAAACACTCCTGTCTTGCTGGAGAAACCGTTTATGACTTGCCAGTTTAAGATTACGTGTGACTGGCACGGCTTTGTGTACAACACAAACCGAACATAACTGGTGATAATGAATTACATCCACATGTGGAAAAGAAAAAGGGACAGATTATCCAGTAGTGAGACTGAGGCTATATACAGTATTATGTTCCTCCACAGGTGCATTTATCACAGAGCCTTGCAGCTCTTATTTCAGCCAGTGGAACTAAGAAGATAACAACACACAGAAGAAGCACTGACAGCTGCTTATTCAAAGGAAAAGACAGATAAGGCAAAGAGGATGGCCATCAGTCTGAAACATGACATTAATAACACTACACAGTATATTATAATGAGCCTGTACAAACCAAGCATGCATTTTCTCTCATTATATTGTCTTTACCCCCCTTTTCTGCTGGATTTACTTTGCTAACTACTTGAGTTTCACACTGTTACTGTTTTCTGTTTAATTTTCTAAATCTTACAAATAATTTAAACCCCTCTTCTGAGTGTTTTTCCACCCTGTTTTTGGCCTGTGTCTTAGTTCTGAAATGAAGCTCTTCAGGTGCCACGAGGAATCATTTGGCGGTCCATTTTTACTCGTTCCGTACAGTACTTTGAAAAAGCAGTACCGGTGGGCTGCAGCGGCGTAAGATGGCTCTGTTAAGAATGTTAATGCAACATCCTTGTTTGACAAGATCTTGCCTTAATATTTCAGGAAGCAAGCTTTCAAAGGTAAATGTTACATGTAAATGCCTCATTTTGTCAGGCTCCCTGAGCAGATTGGCTTGGAAAACAAAAGGTCACGCTGGGTTTCTTGACAGATAATACACAGTGGAGGAAGCAGTGATTGAGTTCAGTAGTTCTGATGAGTAAAAAACTTTCCCATTGGAAACCGTCCTTAGATACCAATCACTACATGATTAATATATCTGAGACATTTCACCTCACTTATAGGGGTTAAAACATGGCTAACACACATATATTTAAGGATCCTTTACTTTTCTTTCTCTGTTTCTGAACAACAGTACGTTTGTGTGAACACCGTGGTGGTAA